GAGGGAAGACTGTCTCTGTCCCAAGAGAAGATGCAGCCTCATAACTCAGCGTAGGGCAAACAGTGGGAAAACCCACGGATGTAGGATTTGGTGTAGCTCACACCAGTGGGAACACCCAGGGATGCAGGATTTGGTGCAGGTCACCAGTGGGAAAACTCAGGGATGTAGGATTTGGTGTAGGTAAGGGTACCTGGGCAGCTTCGAGGCAACTCTGCCTGGACCTGAAGTGGCACAGGCCTGAGTCCAAGTGGGTTACGGAAGCTATGAGGAAAGTGGTACGAGCAGTTGCATCTCAGGAGATAGTTTACTACGTGATCCCTCCAAAAAGCCCTGTCAGAAGGGCTTACACAAACCTATTTGTAAACATTTGCTTGCTTTTACTCATTTACAAAGCCTTGCAGTCTAAAGTCCTTCTCCCTTGTGCAACCAGTTCTCGCACCAGCACTGCTCTGTGGGGGCAGAGAGCAACCTCTGACTTCACCAGACCTCCCTGTCCATCTCTCAGGCTATGGTGGCAAGACACACTGGTGATTTGGTATCAAATGCCCCTGCAATTGCCCTCGTTGTGCTCCAGGCACAGCAGGAAGTGGAGCTCCGAGAGCAAACGCATCGCTAACTGGGAATTTTGGAGGAGTTCAGAACAGCCCTGCCTGTCCCTGCCCCCTGCCCACGCTCTGGGGGGCCAGGGCTTGGCAGCCCCACTCGGCCCTCCGAGCCAGCCTGTTCCAGCTCGGTACTTTCCCAACAAACCCGTGCTGTGTCCCCAAACAAAGCTGAGCCTCCGCAATAGGGCCCTCGGTGCCAAGGGCAAGCTGGTGGCTGCAGCCCAGCACCCCGAGTCCTGCAGGGAATACTGATCTGCCCGCTCGGCCTCTCCTCAAAGCCCTCTTTGCAAGGGGCTGGAGGGTGTTTTTCCTGCAGAGGAGACTGTAATTACAGCTCAGGCAGGAATTCTCTGACAGCACAGCGCTGCCAGCGCAGCCACCGAGGAGCAAAGGCATCGCCGCTTCCAAGGAGCAGGAAAGGTCTTCAGGCACTAATGGCAAGTTTAAACTCACTTTCTCCAGAATCCACCCTTTCCAGCTCAAGCAGGGCTGGAGTCTTGCTGCTGCTGCTGCTGGTTCCCAAAGTGCCAGAGGAGCAGCTGCAAGGCCACCTGAGGACACTGGAGGACACAGGACACCGACCGACACTGCCACTGCATGTGGTCGCGGGAGCTCGAGCAGTGCCTG